TGGCCTGCAGAATGGAGAGGCAGTGGCTGGCCTCTCCCATTTCACAAGCTGAGCAGTGGGGATGAGGACCACAGCAGAGCAGACCAGGGGTAGAAAGGGGGCTCCAGGGGCCCCACCCACCCTTCCTGAAGTGGGTTCCTGCTCTTCCATAGGCCTGAATTGCTTAGTGTGCCCTCTTCCCAATCCATTTCATTCAAGCTGTCTTCCCCAAGAAGTGAGGAGACGAACACACAGAGGTCTGTTATGGAATGTTTCAAGTTCAACAGCTGTGGAATGGGAAGGGAGGAAGCAGCACTGGACTGAAGAAGTTGGATGTCACTGGAATCTCAACGGAAACCTCAGCTGACCCTTCGGGGACTCTGGGAGATGAGCTGACCCTTCCCAGCAACCCAAAGTGGTGGTGGCAGAACCAGCTTAGCGCCGTGTCTATCAGGTCTCCCCACCCAGGGAAGTGGAGCATGACCTTGGCCTTCTTCAGTTCCCCAAAGGACAGTCAGATGAGGGCTATCTAACAGTGACAGCAGAAACCTGTCTCTCAAGTCACTACAATAATAATAATTCACCATTCTGGTAAAAATGCTGTGCTAACTGAAACCTGTTGCACCCAGTCTAAAGGCAGGGGGGAGTAAATTCTGATATGCTGGCTCCACCATATTCCAAATACTTCCTCAGGAAAGAACTTTAGGCCAGCATCGTCACTCTACAGATCAGGAAACTGAGGCCCGCAGAGCCTCAGGTCATCAGCTCCTACAGTGACACAGTCTTAGAATAAAGAACTAATGTTTGGGTACATACTTCACAGCAGGCTTGTACTAGGTGCCTCACGTGCCTTCTCCAATTAAGTACTAGTCAGAATTCTTTGAAGTAGGCTTCATTTTATCTTCACTTGACATCATGGAAACAGACTTAGGGCAGCCACCTGCGATGACACAGCCATTATGCTGCAGGACTGGCATCTGAAACCAAGCCTCTGTAGAGGTCATAGCCAGTGGCACTGTGGGGCGAGGGTGTTTGGCTTAGTGTTTAAACCGCCGCTTGGCACTCCCGCATCCCCTGTCAGAGCGCCTCTTCCAGTTCTGGCTCTGTGCCTCACCCAAGCTTCCTGCTGATTTATACTCTGGGAAGCAGCAGGTTCAAGTCCTCGGGTCCCTGTCACCCAGGTGGGAGGCCCACATGGAGTCCCAGGTCTTGGCGTCAGACTTACCAAACCCTGACCACGGCAGGCATTTGGGGAGTGGACCAGAGAATGGACACTCTCTCTGTGTCTTTAAAAGAAACATAAATAAACAAATAACAAACGTAAGTTAAAAAATAAATTACTGTTTCTCTGTGTACCAAACTAGCACCCTCAGCTTGTGAGATTCTGAGGAATGAGGAAACGTGTGTGTGTGTGTTGCTATGTACATTGTCCACAGGTAGAAAACTTTTTAATGAGATTTTATGTGAAGAGAAACTTTATATGAAAAATTATATATGATGTGATTTATTTCTAAAAACAATATAACACTACCACAAGGGACACCATTTGTTTTCTGCTTTCAGGGTAAGAAGCTAATCAGTTGTGCTTCCAGAAGGAAACAAGTTTCCCATCAGCTACACAGCAGAGAGTAACAATGTAACTCTCAGCGGCCACCTCCATTCCTTGCCAGGTTCCCTGGACCTGGCGGCCTTGCTCCTTCTGTGGCCCCGATGTCCTCCCTACAGAAGCCTTCAAGTCCAGCCACAGGGGTGTGCACCAGCCAGGAGGGCTCTCCGCCAGCTGGGAGGGCTCTTCCCTGGCCTTCAAAACCACCAGGTCTGAAACGGAGCAGCCAGTGCACCACGGTGGCCCAGGTAGGTTTATAAAAGACCATTCCCGTGACTTGAGAAAGCTCCAACACCGATCCCGCCTTCCTCCCCTGCTCCATCAAAAGGGAAGCTATCCGAGTAAAAAGACTCTGAAATGTAAGGATTTCCCCATGAAGAAATGGTGTTAAATTACAATAGTATGATGTGGTCCAAGAAACTCTAGACTGTGTCAGAAAATGTGGATTAATGTGTTTAACAAACATTTATTGTATTCCTACCAAATGCCAGGCCCTGGGCCAGATGCTGGAAGAGGCAGTGTTTTGGGAGTTTGCCATTTAGTACAGTAGTTCTCAGATGTGAGCGTGGATAAGCATCACGTTGGGAACCTGCTAAAAATGCACCTCCTAAGCCCCGCCCCCGGAGTCTCCGCTTCTTCGGTAGTGCTGGGGCTCAGGACTCTGCATTTTAACCTTGGTCTCCAGGTGGCCCGGAAGCAGCTGCTTGTTGTATCCTGAGAAACCTTGACCTAGGTAGTTGTTCAGTTCTGCTCAGCTGTTTAATTCAGTCACTGAAACCCACGACTGCAGGAGGATGGAAAAGATCCACTACGGCTAAATCCTCAGGAAGCCTTAGAAAGACTCCTGGAAGGATTTTCCGTGCAGCAACAGTGTCTGGAGGAGACACCTTTTGTTTTCAAACAGGAGAGAGACACTGGCTGGCCCAGGGGGAGAAGCGAAAAGGGTTTCACTAGAATAATTCACAAGTGTGAGTGGATGTGCGTGCGTGTGCAACACCCCATCAACTTGCAGACAGAAGCTTTGTGTACTTCACTGTACAGGGGTTTACTGCATGGAGGATACAGCTCAAACTTTTCAAAAAATTTAAGAAAATGTAAGATCAAGAGGATAGGGAGTTGTAAAAGTCATTCCAGAAAGGAGAATGCAGTCAGAGCTGGGCTGCTGGCAGGAATGAGAGCAGGAAGAAGGGAGAGATTCACCTCTTGAAGGAGGCACCGAGTGCGTGCTCAGCACTGTGAGGGTATGGTGGATTGAAGATGGGAGTGAGAGTCAGCAACTGCGGATGCAAACAGGCCAGCGGGTTTGAGAACCGAGAGCCAGGTAGCGTGGGTATGAAAGAGAAGAGGGAAGGAGGGGGAAGTGGAAAGAAGAGGGCCCCGTCCCTTTGGGATCCTGCTACCTTGTGGTTCTGAATTGCCTTGTGGTGTTGAGCAAGTCATTTGCTCCAGTCCTGGATGTGGACCTACACGGGGCTGGGTGACAGACGGGAAGCCACTGTGAGGAACACTAGGACAGTAAGCGACAGGTCATTGTAAACCGTAAAGGGGCTGTTCCATGCTGCCTGCGATGAATGCATTCTGGTTCCAGCTTAGGGCAACTGCAAGCGCAGCAGTGGGCAATGAGTCCGGGTCCTGCTGCAGCTCCCAGCTCTTTCGCGACCCTGACCACCTAACCAGCGCTTGGGGCTTGCAGAGAGCTTCCCTCTCCTTTTCTCTGCTCTGAAACATGCATGCTGCATGTTTGGCCCCCCACCAGCTGTCCCCCCACCCACTCCCAGGAGCCCCTTCCACCTTCTCTCAGGAGGAGCCAGCTGTCATCACAGAGGCCACCTGCCTCCTCCCTGGTCTGTGAGTCTCCCGGGGGAGGCCAGAGGCCTCACCAGAAGCCCCCAGGGACCACAGCAGCTTGCTGGAGGCCCTGGGGAGAAGGAGGGAAAACAAGACAGGCCCTAAAATTAAATGAATTGTCTATAAATGTTTTTTAATTAAAATTGTGATTCTTTTCCTGTGCAGAAGAGGCTCTTTCTTTAAGAACAATTGCACTCGCTGAGTGGCAGACCAAGGGCTCGGTAGCTCTCCCCAAAGCCAGGGAGGGAAGGGAGGTGAGAGCTGAGAGGTGATGGGTGACTGGTACTTCCCCCCTTCAGGGAGAAAGAAGAAAGCAACAGGGAGAAGGGGGAGGGGCGGACCCTGGAAGGAGGGGTCCTCTTGGTAACTTCCCAGGCAGAGGAGGCTGAGCTTGCCGGGGACCCTGAAGCTGGGATTTTGTGTTTTCTTTTGTTCCTTAAAATTATGCCACCTTCTCCCTGCTTCTTACCCCTGGAGGGCCCCAGCCACCAGCCTTGAAGCAGCTGCCAGAGCCACCCACCGCTTTGGCCTTGGGGCCACCCGGGCAGGAGAAGGAATCCTAAAGGAGGGTGTGTGTGTGTGTGTGTGTGTGTGTGTGTGTGAGAGAGAGAGAGAGAGAGAGAGAGAGAGAGAGATGGTGGAGGAGGGGAAAGCCACCGGCAGAGCCCACTAGGGAGAGAGGTCCTTGGAGGACGCAGCTCGGGTAGGACGGGGGCCAGGAAGATTGGCTGGGAAAGGGAATGAGGGCCCAGCGGAGGAAGTGGGAAGGGCAGCGAGGGGAAGCTGTGGGATCTGCGGCGACTCGGAGGGGCAAGTGCCAACCACCCGGGAGGGCTGCCCAGAGCTCCGCAAAGCGAAAAGTCGCGGCTCCAGCCCAGGGCCCCAGACCCGCAGCGCCCAACTCGGTTCCGTGCTGCCCCTCCTAGGGCCACCTCGGGTTGTTTGCCTCCAACGAGGGCCTGGGGCCCAGCACACGAGTGAGGGGCGCAAGGACACCGAGGGTCCCCTGCAAGGCCAACGTGTGCAGTGGCTGCCCAGCGCGCGGGTTCCGCAGCGGCCTCCGCAGCTTCCCCGCATTTGTGTTTGCACACCACCTACCACGGTCACCGCCACGGAGGTGCTGGGTGCTGCGAGCAGGGAGGCCTCTCTGCGGGGCCAGTGGCCTGCTTCATTCTCTTATTCCCGCAAAGTACTCTACCCCCTCCCCCTTTTTTTTTGACGTGGAGAAATCATTTCTAAGAAGAAAAGAAAATCTTGCCTGTCCTGGGCCCCGTGGTTGCACAAAAAAAGCCAAAAAGCTGCCAGTAGGGAGACGCGCACGGAAAATTAGTCTCTGGGAGCGCAAGGAGGCAAGACTTCAGGATGTCCTAGGGCAAGCTCCTAAAGCCGCCAAGAAACTCGCACTGGGAGTCGCGGAGAAGGCCCAAGGGGCCGACCCCACAGGGACAACCGAGGGCCCCCTCCGCCGCCAGGGTCCCCACCGTTAGCTGGGCCCGTCTTGTTTTTCTTCTTTTTGTTTTTGCTTTTTAATCCTTCAAATAGAAGACAAAATACACTTCGCTGATCATCATAGATATATATATTTCACTCTCACCACATAAATACAAAACATCCAAATACCCAAAGCATTCAGAACAAAGTTAGTAGCCAGGATTCCGTGACACCTACCCGCGTTTGAATCATTTATTGTTTTCTTCACTATTTGCCTAAAAAGGGAAGAGGGAGGGAGAGGGCGGGGAAGGAGGGGAAAAAGCTTCCGATGTAAAATAATTTACAATAAAATTACTATTTTAAAAAAATGTGTTGCGTTTGCTGCGGATGGAGGAATACATTCGAGACACTGCGGCACCTCGCAGGCTGGGTCTGCGGTTTTGGTTAAAATGCGGGGGGCTGTGGCTGTGGCTGTGGGGACCGTGGTCGTTGCTCTCCCGGTTCTGACTCCGGACCTGTGAGTCCCTAGGAGTGGGAAGCAGGGGACGACGCCTTTCCTTCGGCCATGCGGGGAACTGCGCGCGCACAGAGCCCGGAGATCGGAGGCCGAGCAGCCACGCGCTCCCCCGCGGCGCCCCTACCTCCTCCGGGAATGGCTCCGTAGTCCAGGCGTTTGCTGTGGATCTTGGGAATCTGGGAGCTCGGGCGAGGAGGCAACGGGCGCTGACTCCTTCCCAAACCCAGCGATTCTGCCCTGGGGGGCTGCGGGGCGAGGCACCGGCGCCCAGGCGGCCGCCTGGAGCAGCCTGGCTCTGCCGGCGAGGAGCCGGCAGTCGTCGGCCTCTGCCTCCAGCAGCCTCGAAGAACAAATGCCGAGTTCTTCGGTCACGAGCAGCTTTGGCTTCCCTTTTGCTTTTCCCCTTGAAATTCCTTTCCGAAGTCACAGAGCCCAGAACTTCAACTTCGCCTCGCCTGTGGCGCGTTCTCGATCCTGGATTTTCTTACGCTTTTTCCAAACGCGGTTGTTCAAAACCAGGTTCCGCTGCCTCTGGTTTTACGGCATCTTACTCTTACCTGACCGTCGAGTCCATCAATAGCAGAGCCCCCGCGGCCTACCTCGACCTTCCGTTTGTTTCCTGGGATCGGGGTTGGTTGTGATTGGAGTTCCCCTACCCGGCGCGAGGCTCGGCGGGGCGCGCTGCGCGGGGAAGCTGCGTGGCACCGACAATGCCCAGGGTCCGCAGAGCGGGGTGGGGAGGGGCAGGGGCTCCCCACATCCCTGATTTCTCAGCAAGAGGAAGGAGCCTCCTCTTTTTGGTTTCAAACTTGCGAGCCTTTTCAGCCCTGGGGCGCTGTGCGCGGCTTTCCTCTTTCAAACATTCACAGGAACAATGAGTGGCGGCGGCGGCGGCGGCGGCGGCTGCGGGAGCAGGTGTCGGGGCTCCGGGCTTGGAATCCAGGCTTGGCCCTCCAGGGCTGGGCACTGGCCGGGGGCATCGGGTTGGTTAATTCAGGCATTTTCCCCCAATTCTTTGGATCGCTCCTGAATTGCAGAAGGAGGTTGGGTTGGGGGGGGGGGCACGGAGTAAAAGTAGAAAAATAAAATAAAATAAAAAGTGGCCAAATGAGACGAATTCGGCAGCAGAGCCTGGTGGGGAAGAGAGCTTTCGGAGGCCTGCTGGGAGCCGGGAGCCCAGCACAGGAGCCCTGGGCGCCTGACGCATGTCCATAAATATCACCACAATAGATACTATAAATATAAATACAGGCAGACACTTAAAATCAGTCCAGCGCTTTTTTCTCAGCCCCTTCTTTGTTGTTGGTCCGGGAGTAAGGCTCAAAGGCCGAGGAACTCAGGTATCGGGCCGAGAGTTCTTGCAAATTCCCGGCTAGCGAACCAGCCATGGTCAACGGGGCGGAGGACAGGCGGCTGGCCACCGAGCCGAGCAGCGAGGGCACCGGCAGGCTGAAGAGGCCATGACCAGCGGCCGGCGCTCCCGCGTGCAGTCCCCCCGGCCCCGCGGGCCCCGGGCCCGGAGCGCCGCCCACGGCCGGTGGGTGCTGAGACGCGGCGCCCGCAGGGCCCGGGGCGGCGGCCGCGGCAGCGGCCGAGCCTGCGGCGGCGCCTGCGCCCAGGGCGGGCAGGCTGGGCCCGCGCAGCGCGGAGCCGAGCGCGCCAGTGGCGCAAGGCGGCAGCAGCGCTGGCAGCCCGGGCGGCGACAGCAGGCGGCCTTGCTCCAGCAGCCGCAGCACGCTGCACGTGGCCGCGGTCTCCGACACCACCGAGCGCAGCTCCGAGTCCTTGCCCTGGTCCTTCTTCTGCTTGGTGCGGCGGTTCTGGAACCAGACCTTCACCTGCGCGCACGGGCGCCGGGGAGCGGGCAGGGTGGGAGAGAGGGGCAGGGAAGGCGAGTGTCACAGGGAGCAGGCTCCGCGGAGCGCTGGGCTCCAGGGACCCTCTCCCAGCCCCAGCCAGCGGCCAGAGAGGCCCCGCCGGGAGGGGGACACCGTTCCACTGGCCTGAGCTTCCAGTTCACCGACGCAGGCCCAGGCCTGCGGCAGTTACAAGAAACAGAATAAAAATGTCCACGACCCCAACTCTTAACAGGCCAGAAGGGATTTCACTGGAGTGCCTCCACGGGTCGTGGGCAGATTTGGAGCTCAGGGATCTCGCTGGAGAGCCCAAATAGAGGGTGCAAGACCTGGGGATGATCCCTAGCCCAGGCGCCGGGCCCAGTGGGTTCAAATGTAGCCCCAGAAGCGCTGTTCCTGTCCAAAGCTACAAGGGGCCAGTGGTAGGGTTAAGAGGTGACCACCTAGCAGCAGGCAGGAAACGTGGTGGCAGAAGGCATCATTCGTGCAGGATGGATGTCGTAGGCCTTGCTGTCTGTACCTCCTCCCCCGCCCCTGGATTGGAGGGTCCCAGCGATACTCCTTACCAGCCTGCTGCTCCTCACCAGGAACTTTGCAGGTGTGGGCTGGGGGCTAGGGGCTGCGGTGGGTAACACCACTCTCCGCCTCTTCTCTCTCTGTCCCTCCAGGCCTGGGTGGCCCAGGGTGGGATATGGCAGCTCTATGAAGAGGGGAGTCTCTCTAGCTTTTGTAAACCAAGAGGGGAGGTAGCAGACAAAATAGGAAAAGCCACCATGCCAATTCGAACTCCAAAATTACAACCCTTCTGTTGATCTGAAGACCATCCTGGGTCTTCAGCTTCCAACCCAGATCCCAGGCCTATCATGCTGCCCCCTACCCTCCAGGGCTAGGCATAGGGACAAGGACAGGTCCTCTGAAAGATGGCTGCCTCACCTGTGGCTGCTAGTGGCATGCCCTGGCCAGGCCCCAACAGCTCTTCATGGACCCAGAGCTCTCAACCCTTTAGGGACCCTGGGCCCAGAGCCCACATGGCCAGCTCCAGGGATATCGTATGGGTTTGACATGTAGGAAAAGAAATAAAGCATAGTAGGCAGTGCTGGCTCCTGGGACCCTCCATGTCTTTGGCACTGGAGATGGGGCTTGCTAGGTGCCCAGAATGGTGTTTGGGGCTGGCTCCAGCTCAGGACCAAGGCAAGGCTTTCTCAAGGGTCCCGGCAAGCAAATCTGCACAGGCAGAGCTCCTGGGTGGGGGGTGGGGGTGGTAGAGCCTTCTAACCTTATCTCCACGTCCTGCAGAATGGGCCACGGTGCTATGGAAAGCTGAGTGCCCCAAAGGAGACAGTGACTGAAAATATGGCCAAAGTGGGGGTGCCACAACATGAGCCAAGGGCCATTCTTTGTAAAGCAGAAACAAGCAAGATACTTCGAAGACTGGGAGCCCAGAAGCATCCCCTAGGGGCAGGATTTGGGGCTTCCTGGGCCAGACAGAGGTGGGCAGAGCACCAGTCTGGGATATCTGAGGGGGCCTCAGGCCTTTCTTCCCCATCCTCCCCCATCTCCTTCCTCCCCTGGGAAGCTCTGTCCGGGAGCAGGGACCAGAAAGAGTAGGCTGGGCTTGCGGGGAGGGAAGCTGGTGCTGGATCTGGGGCAGCCTGGCTGCTGGGTACCTGGGTCTCGGAAAGATTGAGCTGCCGGGCGAGCTCGGTCCTCTCGCGGCCCACCACGTACTGGCAGCGCTGAAACTCCATCTCCAGCCGGTAGAGCTGCTCGGCAGTGAAGGACGTGCGGGTCCTCTTGGGCCGGTCCAGATCGAGGCCCTTGGGCAGGATGATCTCGCGGATGGACCCCTTGGCATCTGGGGAAGGGGAGATGTCAGCCACCAGAGCCCTCCTTCCACCTCCTTGGCTTGAACTGGCTACCGGGACACAGTCGCCAGCAGCCTGTGGCTTCAGGTGGTGGAGGGGAGGGTGGGCCACAGCCGGGAGCACGGACTGCGTGTGTATGGGGTCAGGGGGCTAACCACCCGGAGCAGGGACCAGACTTGGTAGTCGGGAAAAATCCAGTCCAAATAGGTCAGTGTTCCTTCTGGCCTGGGGGCGCCTCGGCTGCGCGGCCCAGGGCCCCTGCAGCCTGAGGGTACCCACACTGACCACCAGCCCGGGTGCTGCAGGCTCCAGCCCCGGGGGCACATCAGCGGACCGCATACCAGCCGTCCCCACCCCCATCCCGGCTCCCCTGCCCTCCAGAGCCCGGGCAGCGGAAGGAGGAGGGACCGAGTGAGGGCCGGCGGGGCCTCGCAATCCGCTGGCGGGGGCGGCGCCCGGTCGGGGCCGGGCCTCGTCGCGGCCGCTGCAGCTGCCGGGTCTGAGCGCACGCCGGGCAGCCGAGCGAGGCCGAGCCGCGCACCGAGGCAGCATCCTCGGCCCCGCAGCCCAGCCTGGCGGCTGCTGCCAACAACAGCGGCCGCGGTCAGGCTCGGCTCAACGCGCCCACTGGCCGGGCAGTAGCCCGCGGTCGGCGGCTGTGCTCCGGCGCCCGCGCTCCCCTTGGGTGCGCTCAGCCTGCCAGGGCGCGGGAGCCCGCCGGCCAAGCTCCCGGTCTGTCCTCCGGCCCGCGGGGACACACGCGCACATCCTCCCCGGCTCTCCTGTTCCTTTCTCCAGGTCGGAGCCTGAAGCCTGGTGCCGGGCCCCTCCCGTGCAGCCCCTCAGCTCCCCCCGCAGCCCGGCGGGCTGGGCCCCTTGGGGCTCGCAAAACCGGGTGTCCCTGGAGAGCGTACGCCGGCCGGCTCCAGGCTCGAGTCCCCGGCGGGCAGCCGGACCCCGGGCGGTGCGGGCCAGCAACTTTCTCCGAAGTCCCAGCCGCCACCTCCTCCGTGGCCGGCCCGGGGCGGCAGCGGCGCGCGGTTTAGGCCCTGGAGTCGCCCCCGAGGAACACGCCCCGCAGCCCTGCCGGTGCCTACCTCGGACCAGGATCCGGCGGCAGTAATCCGGGTCGGCGGCGGAATTGGATTTACTTTTGTTGCAATCTTCAGCGGGTCCGGACGCCGAGAAGGCGCCCTGCGGCTCCTTGAGGAAGGCGGCCGGAAGGGTCCCCTCGGCGCCCTTGCTCTCGCGGCTTTCCTTGTGCGCGCTCTTTGAGACCCGGGCCGCCTCGGCGTCCGAGTGGCACCGAACGTCCATTTTGTCTGGCTTCCCGAACATAGGCAGGAACAACAACCAAAAAAAAAAAAAAAAAGGAAAAAGGAAAAAAAAGGAGAGGGAGAAAACAGAGGCAAAAGGAGGACAAAACCCCTCCAACGCAGCCTCTGCACCCGACCTGGCAGGGGCGAGCGCACCGCGAGTCCCCGCGGGCGGCGCGGGCGAGGCGCGGCCGGAGTGGCCGCCGAGCCGGTGCAGCCGCGGCGCGGCCGCCTAGTCAGCGCCCGCGTCCTCTGAGCACGTCCAGTGTCCCCAGCCCCGCGGTCAGGCAGCGAACGGCGCGGCTCCCGCCCGCCACTGAGACACCCGCGGGACGCGCGCTCGCCGCTGCGATTGATTGCGGGTAATTTCGCAGCCCCCGCGTTTCGGTTACCTCATGAATACACTAAATTGTTTGGATAATATATCAGATCGTAATGGATGGTTTCTGTCCTTGTCCCCAATCAAGTAGGGGTTCAGCCAGTGAATAAACGGAAATGATTGGTCTTGCTTTCAGGAAACACACAACAATCAAAGACCCGCACGTCCAGAAAAACTTTTGACGAGATGCATCCTGAATTGCCGGTCCCACGAGCGGGCGCGGCCAGCTTCCCCTCGCCTGCGACCCGCCCGCTCTCGCGCCGGCCGGAGGGGGTGGTCCGCCCCGGCAGGCCCGAGCCAGGCGCCCGGGGGCGGAGGGAGGCGGCGGAGGCCGGCCGGGTTGAGAAGTTCCCCCCGAAGTGTCCCCCCGCACTCCACCGGCGCCGAGCCTTCGCCCCCAAACGCCGCCTCAACACACCTCGCCGCAGACAGCCATCTTAAACTGCCACCTCGCCTCCTTCAGCCGCAGTTGGAATTTTTCGTGCCTGCACCTCCAGCGGCCCTGAGGCAGCCCATTCAAAGGGCAGCTTTGTGTTCAGAGTCCAGCAGGAGAGAGAGAGAGAGAGAGAGAGAGGAGAGAGAGGAGAGAGAGGAGAGAGAGAGAGCAGAAAACCTCAACTGTGAGATCTGCTTAAAAAAAAAAAAGTTTTCCCCTAGCTATTTCATTGTCTCTGCTACAATATCTTTGAGAAAAGCAACAGCCAGTAATCCAATAAGAGCATTGATTAGGCTACAATGATTCAATTCAAGCGCGCGGCCTTGTGCAAGGAGCATGCTTCGGCCCTTCTCGTCACCTTGCCGGGGCAGAAGCCCTCTCCACGCCGCTCTCCCCATTCATTCCTTTATGGGAAATGCGGAGCAAAAGGAGTGAAAGATGGCAATTATCTAATTGGACTATTAACAGTCCTCTGAGTGCGGCGCGCTGGCGTGGCTCCTGGGCGGGGGAAGGGCCGCGTTCCCTGCCCTCATTCACACAGAGTGCAGGGGCCGGCGCGCTCGGGGGGCTTTTAAAAGGGGGTGGGGGGAGATGAGAGGTGGGAGGCTTGGCTGAGAATTTTTCCACACAATTCCGAGACTGGGGCGGAGGCGGCGGGGGGAGGGGAACCGAGGGGAGGGGGCTGGGGGCGGGGGTCGCTGCGAGCGGGTGGGGGAGGCGGGGATCCAGTGCGGAGGGCCGGTGGCGGGTGGGAGGTATGCGGCAGGCCCCGAGAGGCTCCTGCGGCCGGGGAGGCGCGCACCGCCTGCCTCAGCGTCTGGCCGCCGCCTCCCCGGCCTCGGGGGCCGGGTCTCCGACGCGGTCCGCCCCTCCATCCCTGGGAGGGCGTCCCGGTCCCTGCGGGCTTTTACTTTGTTTTATTGGGGGCAAGGCGGGAGCCGTCCTGCGGGGCTCTCCAGGTCCACCGCGCACCTCCAGGCCCGACGCCTTTTGATCGCCCGCTGCCCCCGGGGCGGGAGGCCGGAGATGCGACGGGGTACCCCGCGGCCGCCCTGCCACGATCGGAAGATGCAAAGTGGGATTTAGTAGAAATCCGCCCGACTCTCCGATTACTGCCCGCGGCGCTCTGGAACCCTACTCGGCGCCTCGAAGCCCCGAGGGCTTCACTCCCACGCGGCCCGAGCGGTCGGGAGGCGGCACCGCCTCCGGGACCCGGCCCCCACGGCCACGCCACGGGATTCGGGGGCTCGGGTTGGAGGTCCCGGCAGTGGCTGGGGCCCCAGTCTCCGTGGCAGCGCTAGGCCCGAGGCCGGTGCGGGGTGCGGGCTTGGGGGCCCAGTGGCCCTTCGAGGGCTGCTGGCGGAGGCGAGGGGCTCGGGGCCGGCGCGCAGGAGGACGCGCGCTCCCCCTAGTGCGCTAGGGGCCCCTGCGGCCTGCGGGGAGTCCCAGTCCCAGGCTCGGCCCCGAACGGAGCCACCCTAGGTGGTGTTGATCCCCGACCGCACCCCGCCCGGTGGCTCCATCCTCAGGGCGCAGGCCTCGGCCGCCTCGGGAATTCTGCACGGACACCTGTGGCGCCGGGTTAAAGGCTGGGAGGGACATCTGTAAAGAAATACAAATGGGCCAGCTCACCAGTTCTTTCAGGTCCGCTGAGAGGTTGGGGGCAGCCAGGGAGCGAACCACTGCTCTGAGAAAGGACGCGCCGCTGGACAGCCAAATCCTGACCCCCCACGTGAAGCTGGACGTGGGCGCTCCCTGCCCCCCGCCCCGCCCCGCACTCTGAGAGGGACACCAGGGGCAAACGGGGTTCTGATTAGGAATCGTTGAGCGGTCCCCAGGCGGCTGTACGAACGCATTTCGTCCTAGTCCTTGTGTCGGGGCGGGAGCAACATCCAGGATTATGGATAAAAGAGTGGACGCTCAGAGAGGGTAGGGGGCTCGCCCAGGAGGCACAGTCGCCAAGGGCAGCCTCCGAAGCCCTTCCTCACCCGTCCCGCAGGGCTCCGCCCTTTTCCTAAGGCCAAGCCTTCCCTGCTTGGAGCTGGCCAAGCCTCCAGGTGTGGATAGAAGCGACACAGAACGATGAACTGAATGGCGAGGTCAGGAATCCTAACGAGCCAGGCGGCAGTGTGCGTGAATGTTACCCAATCAACGTGAGTAGAAATGGAAACATGAAATTCTTGTTTCCGATAATGCGGTGTATTGCCAACCACATGCAGTTTCTCATCCCCCTCCGTTAAGCTGAACTGGGATATGTAAAATTCAGGGCCTGGGTTTCCAACTCACGAAACCCAGTGTCCCGGGCAGTGCCCCGAAACGTGCCTTGCTAGCTCTCTTCCAGGGGGTCTTTGAGCCAGGAACGCTGGAGACTGGCGCCTTCTGATGCCGGGATTCTCCCGGTCCTTGAAGGTAGGGATCACCATCCCACCCAGCTACATGCTGGAAATACACATGTTTATTGAGTAGAAAGTGGGATATTAATGAAGCGGACTTTTCCAGGAGTCTGCTGTCAGGACCCGGGGCAGGAACCAGGGTGGTCCCTAAAGTTCATAGGCATCTCTGCTATCTCTTCAAACACAAACATGGCTCGAACAGTGCTGTTGACCGGTGCTCCTCTATGTTCCAAGCCCTTGAAGTAACCAAATTAGAGTTAAAACACCCATCTAACCTGGTTTTGCTTTTGTTATGCATAGTGCTTTTCCTTCCTTCCTTTTTTTTTTTTTTTTTTTTTTTTGTGACTGGATTAAAATTCTGTGGGCATCCATCCAGAAAAACCATGACAGGTTTCTGAGAGGACACAGTGGAGGACGGAAGCCCTGGGATGGAAATTTCAGAAAAGCAGCTGCTGCTCAAAAAAAAAAAAAAAAAAAAAAAAAGCTGTGTGTCCACTGGCAAAGAAAGGAGAGAACTCAGTCAATTATTCAGATAATCTGAGACAACCAACACACATGAGGACACAAGGCTGCTCCAGGTGAAAGTGTTTTATTCTCTTGACTAAATTTGCTTCCCCCAGTGCCCTGCCCGCCCCCACATCACTGTCTGCAGGTGCAGACAGACCCAGAATAGAACTGGAGAGCTGGAAGGATTTTTAGTGATCATCTATTCCATAACCTTCATTTGACTTGACAGATGAGAAAAATGAGCCTGGAAAGACAAAGCGATTTGTTAAGGATTAGACAACTAGTTAGTGGGGGCCTCTCTGCTGCAATTCTGGGCTCCTCACTCAAAGCCACACTCCCACTTCCATCCAGGCCTCCCAGAACCTCGATGAGGCGAATGTATTCTCTGGGATGGGGTGAAATGATGCCATATAAATGAACTCAATCATAATCTGAGCCCGGGGGAGGGGGAGGTGCTTTTCATAGCCCCCACCCCTGCCCCCTTGCTTCATGTCACTACTGCCGAAGGGAGGGTTTGAGATGGCATACAGTGCCTTGCTTTTCCACTTTCACTTTTTATTTCAGAAAGGAGTAAGAGGAGAAACATGCTGGCATTTTAAAAATATTGGTGATCTTGGATTACGAATGGATAGGGGATAGCATGGACAAACATCTAAAACATGATTTTAGAGGGAACTGTGTCAGGAGATGATACAGCTGGAAATTAAGTTCTTATAAAAATGAATCAGGGTACCTTGTGATAGTAATTCATTGAAAACAAGAATACCTGGTGTTTGTACAGAGACTTTCATTGCCAATCAAAGTTGCCAGTGGTGATGAATTCAACCTCATTCATTGTCATCATGCCCATTTTACAGAAAATATTGGAACACTGGAGAAGTCATTGAAATAAGAACCACAGTGGAATATCCAAATGGAAAATATAGCCATCCATGCAGACAGTTCTTCCCCATTTTAGCTAATGATGAGGTTAGCCAATGTGCAGGAATTATTCTGGCTAGATTTCAAGCAGTCCATCACACTGGACTCCATCTCTCAACTTTGCATTTTGTACCAAGAACCCAAGATTCACTGATTATTTCTGGATTTTGTACATGGAAGCATCATGTAACTTTAGAGTGAGAAGGGGCCTAGGGTGACGAAACCCTCTGGCTCTATAGGCTCACTGCACTGACGAGACAAGCACGTGTTCAGTCGGGCTGCTGGACTCATGTCTTCATATCCAAGCTCCACTGCTTAGCAGGCGTTGGGCACAGCACTTTCTTTCTCTGTGCTTCAGCACCTATGAGTGTCTGCAAAATAAGGTCAGCTCCACTCCCAAATGTAGC